CAAGCCTCATGAGCTTTGTATTACTGCATGAAAACATTCATGTAAGTATTTACCTCTCAAAGTGAGTGACACAATTTCTGAAACAGATCCAGATCCTGCAACACCAACACCCTTGTTATTCAAAATGGCAAAAACAAACTCAGAGAACAACCCAAACAGCATCCTGGCCTGTAGAAGCAGAAGAAACCTGCTCCTGTTCTCCAGCAATGTACCTGCCATGATTGTTTCAAAAGCCATTCCTCAGCATGACAAATCTCTATGAGAAATTCCTGAGGAGAATCTTACCATCTTTTAGCAACTGATGATAACTCAAAAATCCAACAGACAGCTATAGAAGATGCCCAAAAGCCAATTCTGTGGCCTGACCATGTTTCAAAAGCATAAGCTGAAAGTTTTGAGTAAAGACAAAAATTTCTTAACATCTGTGGTTAAACACACTTACTGGATTCCAGGTATCAACCACTAATCTTGCTACTTCGCAACCACAGCTCAGGAGTACAGACACAACAGATAGGTGATGTAGACCACAAATTACAGGAATGAAGGAAAGGCTAAACTGGGATTGCTCAGCCTGGAAAAGAGAAGGCTTTGGGATGACCTGACTGTGTCTGTGCAGTACTTAAAGGGAGTCTACAAGAGAGATGGAGATGGATGTTTTACACAGACATGTACAGGCAGGACAAGGGGGAATGGCTTCAAACTGACAGAGAGCAGGTTTAGATTAGGTATTAGGAAGAAATTCTCTACTGTGAGGGTGGTGAGGCACTGGAACAGCTGCCCAGAGAAGTTGCAGATGACCATCCCTGGAAGTGTCCAAGACCAGCTTGGATGGGTCTCTGAGCAACCTGGTCTAGTGAAATGTGCCCCTGTCATGGAAGGGAGGTGGTAACTCGATCTTTGAGGTCCCTTCCAACCCAATCATTCTGTGATTCCCTGATCCCTCTCCAGAAAGACACTGTGATAACTGCTGTTCACCTGGACTACTGGGCACATAGTTTAGACACCCTCATCTGAGCGGTGATACTGTCCAACTCACTTGGTATTTCAGGACTTGGCTGGTATTTTTTGGACACACAGAATTTGTATAAAAGACCATATTAGATTCATTTTGTAAATTCCTCAGACTGCTTAATATAACTGACTGAAATTGTTGATGTGTATCTGTCGATTTTCAGGAGTCAGAGGATTAATTCTGAAAATGATGAGAAACATGTTTTAACTGAGCATCTACACAAAGAGAATAGAAGTGCCAAAATGACCAGTACAAAAAGGATGAATAAAAGTTCATTTTACCAGTAGTGTAGCTTTCCCTCCTCTGTGATAGCCCAGGGCCTAAAGAAGTAAGAGGCACTGGAGAGGCATGTTTACACCTGTGCAGGGTGATGCCACCACTCACTCAAATATTTAGTAATCCAAACTTAAATTCCATTACATTCATGTAAGGAATCAATTATAATTTCTTCAGAACACTGAGTTGCATTATTGTATTAGGCTGCAAGGAACAGTACAAGAAGTACTTCTCTAAAGACTGGCTGTGTGAAAATGGATAATGTCATGGGTGTATGGAGCTCATTCTTCACTTCCACCATCTGGACATGCCCTAGTAATTAAACACATACAGTATGATAAGATGGGTATGTGGTTGCACAGGCAGTCAGAATGTGGGCATATGACAGATACCTGTAGTTTCCTCATACTATGCTGCAGTTTTTAAATTGGGCTTTCTTTATCTAAAGGAAGTTGCAGAGCAATTTTAAAACTTTTCATGTAAGCATTCAAAGACAGACCCAGATTCCACCATGGAATGTGAGTGGGACTTTGTCATTACTTCAGCCAAAGCTTTGCAACAAAAGCTTGGCAAGGGCCAAAAAGACTGCAGGGTTTTTTTTCAGCAGGTAATGGAAGTTCTATGAAGGTTCACTCTGTAAATACTGCAAACCATGGTAGACAAGGTAGCTAGGAGGAATATCTGTGTTCTTCAGACTGCACACATCTTTGAGATGAGCATTTAACTTGCTTTTATTATATATACCTCACTACAGCCAAATCGCCAATATTTAACAACTAGACAAAAACTTTGGACTGGTTCACCTGTACCATTCTTAGACATTTACAGTTTTAAAGCAACCAGCATCCTGCCATATCACAACAGCAGCATTTCATAGCTGCCTGCATAGTTGGTTTTTTTCTTTTTCATTTTGGAGCTTTAGAACATATTCTAAATGCAAGCTAAATAATTAGCTATGGCCTCAATTTTATATATATATATGGATGGATGGATGAGTAAGCAGTCCTAAAACTTGACCCAGGACCTTTACTTCCATATCCTGAACAAAGCTTTGTGGAGCTTCCACATATATATATATGAGTTAACTAGTACAAATGACAACAACAATCAGTTCAGAGAGAACTAACGATTCTAACCTAAACAGAACCATTAACTGAGAGATGGGGATGGAAACCAGGCCTCAAGCATCCTCTGGGATCTACAATTACTTTTGAAGCATGGTTTAATCCTCTGGCAACTGATATGATGATGCACCAGCCTAAACATTTACTCTTGGATACATTAACTCTTACTGGTTCTATCATTTGCTCTACTACTCTAGTCACAACAACAAAATTACCAACGCATTTGCTTGTTCATTTGGTAGCAGACTAACACCTGTCAAAATATAAGCCAATTAATATCTTCATAGATAAATTCAATCTATAGTTTGTGAAATCAAAGTTCTAACCCCTTACTAAGTGTCTCTGAGTGGGCGTCACTTTATAACCAGAACTACGATGACACAACAATCAGACAAGAAAGGCAATAACTTTGTCATCTAATTTTTGCACTGAAAATTTAATTAGACTGAAACAATTACAGACTTCTTTTGCTTTCTTTTATGGAAACTAACTCTCATCAAGTCAGGTACTCAACTGAAAACTCTCTAATGTTGTCATTAGTAAAGATGAAGATGCATTAAACTGAATTTTTCAGCAATGCTGAGAAGCACTGAGCTCTTACATGAGTTGTCATAATGAATAACTTATTTTCATGGAGAAAAGAAGAAAGAAATGAAGCTCTGAAGGAAGAAAACTGCAGTGAAGAAGAGTTCTTACTCTAACAAAATTAGCAATTTCTTCTCTGTATTGTCTTTTACATTAGACTTGCATTAACTTCTCATTGTAATTCCATTTAACAGCCATTTGAACTTGTTTTAAAGCTGATTGGAAAGGGCTTGAAAAGCATCTTGAAAAATTGTAAGCTGCACAATGTTTGCTCACTTCAAAAATTAATTTCCTCAGATAATAATTTTACCCTACATTCTGTGAATAAAAACCCTTTTATTTTCATTTGGAAAAAGTTAACTAAATAAAAAGATTTTAGAAAGGCCTTTGCTGAGCTCTACATGAGTTAAGTCTAAGCCTGAATTCAACCCATGGAAGTAAAATTGAGAAAAGAAGGCTTGGGGAATTTAAAGATGCTGAAGTACCAAATAGAATCAATGGCTCAATATTGTCAGTATAGTTATTTCCATTATGCAGAACTTTTAAGGTCTATTTTATAGATTCTGATTAGAAAGCAATGAGTACCTGGTCTGTTCTGCTCTAACCTTGTTCTAAATAGAATAAGACTGATTACACAGTTCTGAATAATTACAGCATTTCATCACTTTGGTAAACCTTGATACTATGCCATAACAGCACGAGTTAGTTTTCCTAAAAGAAAAAGCAAAGATAAAAAAGAAAAGGGAAAAAAAAACTTCAGAGAAATATACGGGAAGTATATGTGAACTTGGGAGTCAATAAACACACACAATAATTAGAAAGAATGAGAACATTCACACAAAACCACAAATCAGTTTTGTGTTGTATCCTCCTTTGTCACTACTAGTACATTGCTAAGACAATGTTTAAGACAAGAGATCTCTTCTAGGCAATACAGGTAATTAGGGGTGTTTCTTGGGGGGCAGCATTGGAAGACCCAGTGGAGTTCAGCTCTCTGTAAACATTTTAGCTTGAAATAAAGAGGGTAAAGGTTGAAAGTGTGAAGGGCTTGTGGCAGAGCTTGCCTTAAAAGCCTGGGAGCTTACTGGGCTCACCTTGATGCCAGGTTCTCAGAGCAACTCTAAATAAATCAAAGACTCTGAGAAAGGCCAATTGTGACTGAGAAGAAGTCTACTACTAAAGATTGCTATTCACCTGAATGAAGGGACAATGCAAAGTTAGTTTTTCTTTTTATTGATTGATGGGGGTGGGAAACTGAAGGGTCTGTAGGACCTCAAGAGTTTTTGCTTTGGGGATTTCAGATATGTTCATCCAGATTCTTGGCAGAGAGTGAATGTCATTGGAAATAGACATTTCTTTTCCACTATGAGTTACAGGACAAGATCAAACAGATGTTCCATAGGTTATAGCCTACAAGACTTATTTGTATCATAAAAATTAACTGTGCACATCAAAGATTATAAATGGAAAAATTCCATTCTTTCTCCGAGAGCCTAGGCTCAGAACAGATGGCACAATACTTTTTTAGCTTTCTTAACATTCTCTACAATGTTGGCTACTAAATAATAACAGCTAGGAAGTTATGTCCTTTGCTTACCCACAGTCTGAGAAAAGCAGGCTGGTTTGATGGAACTGCAAAGAAAAACCACCACTGCCATACAAGGACTTATCTACCAAAAGCAAGATATGCTCCAGGCATCTCAGTAGTTCCAGCGTGGATTGCAACTGAAAAGGTTTTCTGCTCCTAAAGGGAAAAAAATTCCAACATTTCAGACTTGTACATGAACATGGAAATGCTGCCCTCAGTAGCTGGTCTCAATTCTTCCACGCTCCAAAGGCTGTTAAGCCATAATCAGCCCTGCAGACTGGGAGGTGGCTGGCACATGCAGCATCCTGCCTCAGAACTCTGCACTGTCCAAGGCAGCTGTGGCACATGAATTAGAAGCTTTCTACAGCACAGTGGGCATCCATCTTCACCAGCAGACATTCACAAGTCAGAACACAGCAGTGGGAAGGGAGGGAACTGCATGCAAATGTCAGAATTAACTTGTAATTTGGCAATGAAAAATACTATATTATTATTGATAAAGCCTAATCAATTTTATTTGAAAGAAAAGGGATGCTTTTCTTATTTGAAATATCCTCTGATTCATTGCTACCACTGATTATATTTCTTCTTGGGTTTAGCACAACTAGTACCCAACAGGGAAATTATTTCAAATTAAGCAGTGTGATAAATTAAGATACAATTTGCTATGTTGATATAACTCATTTTATCACTATGGTTATATAATAGAAAACCGTATTTATCCTGCACTAGCTTTGTTTTCTTCTGGCAAGGTTATTTATCACCACAGGAAATTCCAAGTTCATAAAACTGGTTAGCTGACATTTCCAATATAATGTACTTTGTGAGGAGGAGCAAGCATCCTAATCAATTTTGCCAATTACACCAGCATTTGTCTTAATACAAGATCTCTTTATACCATATGGAAAGGCTGGCATGGAGCTCTTCCTAAAAGTCATGCAGATCTGGAGAGTAAGAGATTACATCATCATCAGTGTGAAAACAGAATAAACAAAGTAGCAGGCAATGTAATCCAGACAGATATGGATGGATAATGAATTCTGTGACTGGAAAGTAAGAACCAGATCTTTTACAATACAGTGCAAAAGCGTCACGTTTCATGAAGATGACGAGAAAGGTTAATGCATACACAGCCTTTGAATTTTTAGCTCCAGACTGTAAAACAACTCTTCTTGGAAAAATGTAAATTATCTGCAAATTCGTCTTTTGTTATTTGAACAACTGCTTGTCAGTGACCAGATGGAGTTCCACTTTTCTAAACCAAACATTTTTGATGTTGTGTTGCAAGTTGTCTTAGGCAGGCAGAATTTAAATAATCATCTTCAGGAGTGAAAAAATACAATTTTCTTCAAGATGGATGTTTGATTTAGAAACTTCCTTTGAATTTGTACTTTGAAAAGTCAACTAAGGTCAAGATTAATATAGATACATTAATTAGTTTGTTAATATTATGAATGCTTTTCTTATCATCCCACTGATGAATGAGAGAATTTGCATCTCAGCAGGTAAACATGTCTGATACTTCCTTAATCTACTGTACAGCATTTGCTATAGTCAAAAATAAGAAACTAAGTGGAATACAGAATCAAAATGATTTAGAAAACAGATTACTAGTTACAAAGGAATACGGATGAAGAATCACTTTAAAAATAAAACATATTCTGGACTGATGTGTTCCATAAACATTTTTTTGCTAAGAAAAGCCTCTAGGGAACAAATACTTATTTCATATGCTTTCCATTCTGCTTGAGTAATTTTAGATTTCCACTGTAACTCTGCCTTTTATTCCCTTCTGTTTTCCTTGCCTTGGTTAGATTAGAGAGGTAGGGTGTTAATGGGGTACTTGATGAAGATTGAAGACCTATTTTCTCCCCCCTTGGAGACCAGCCTGATTTGAACATATCGAGGACAGTGCAACAGTCTCTTCATGTCCTTGGGAGAAAGCCTTTACAATTTCAATACTTCCAGCTTTGAGACATGGTCCCCTTCATTCCCAAAGAAAGAAAAGGCGCCAGCACAAGAAGGTTCTGAATAATTTCATAGAATGTCAGTGGGGCTGCAAAAGCTCCCGTTCAACCTCCTTTACGTTGGTGAACATGAGGATGCGAGGTGGATCCAGGAGGGGAACGCAGGGAAGCAGATGCTCGCAGCTCCAACAGGGCAAGACACAAACTACTGTCCACCAGTCCCCACCTCTGTTGTTGCTACTTCCTTACTACTCTCGTCCTTGTGGGTACTGTTTTGTGCTGGGCACTCAAAATGCACACAGTGAAACACCTGGAGAGAACAAAAAAATGAAGATAAAGCAAAACACTTTAATGCTGGCAAAAGCGTGATCAAAGTAAGATGAACTCTACATGGAAGTCTATGTGGAAGTCTGCAGGCCAGATCTATATGGAAGTCTGCAGGCCAGTGACAAAGTCAAAACAGAATGTTTCACCATGAGGTCAAAAAACATTTACTCATGGGCAATAAACATTAGGCAGGGACAACACTGGAGCAAGAGAAGGCCTTCAAATTATGCCAACCTTTATATATAGCACTAAAAATCAGAAAGATGGCTCCAAAACAGATAGGGATATTTGTAAACTTTTCTTTTCTTTGCCAACTAGCAGAAATACTTACTACATGCTATTGAATAATAACAATTATATTAGTAGCCTTAAACACATTTTATGATCTTATCACTTCCTCAAGAGGCTGAATGTTCATGCACACCAGAAATGAAATTTAAATCATTACCAACATGATTCTATTTCAAGATTGCCCTCTGCTGTAATAACAATGGCAGCTCTACAGACATGTCCTGGAGTATGCAGGAAGGCATTCAGAGTGTCCAAGGTGGCTGCTGCTTCATCAGATGAAATATTCCTTTTGCAATAGTGATCATTTTCTGATGATTCAAACAATAACTGGGACCAGTGTGCAGGTGACTGTATCTTAGAGTAAGAGGACCATATGCTTAAGCATTTTTCCAATTTATTTTCTACTTTACTTACTTCTACTTGTTCTTGAAGAGCCTGGGAGGAGAAGGGGGAGGAACTCTTTAAAATTGTTACAAAACCTCTTTCCATATGATTTTGCATTGCTATGAATTGCACAACTTTGCCACATACTAAACTTAAGTATTTTTTACACTGCTTTAAATTTGCTATTTTCCCATGCATTATAGTTTAAAAGCTAAAGCTCGATGATTATGAAATCCTGAATTTTAAACTTATTGTCTTAACTTTGTATACTTTTATGACTTCTTCTATTATTCTTGTCTTAAAAGCTCTTCTCACAAACAAAGGTAATCTCTTATAATCTTAACTGCCCTTTCCCAGACCCTTTCAAATTAATATGGGCAAAATCAAATATCATAAACAAGACATGGATATATTCATACAAGACTACAGAATACTATATTTTCTATCTTTTCCCCAATATAACCTAAAATCCTATTATTCTTTTTGACCATCCCTGCTCAAGTGAACATTGAGCAGACATCTGCACTGACATGTCTGCAGTGGCCCCAGGTCTTTTCTGAGGATGTAGCTAGCTAATTTGAATTATGACAGCATATATAAAATTTATTTAAAAAATCTTCAATCAATGCCTGTTTTTTTTTTTAATCCCCATTATATTTTCTTGTGCCCCTCAGTGTAAGTTTTTTATGCAGATACATTGCAATACATTCTTATATTTCTATATATACGCTCATGCTCACATAAAGATGTATTGCTATGTCTTTATATATACATATATATGAACAGATTACAAATCTGCACAGGCACTCACACATAGACACATGTGCACAAAATGGTTTTCCTCTGCATTTCTTCTGTTTCTTTCCTAAAGCTGAACTAATTCCTATACTGGCATGCATTCTCTCCATCTGTTACAGTTCTTGAGAAGCCAATTTTTGTATTTATCTACACTTCTAGAGAAGTCCCTTTTGTACTCATTCCACTCCTCTGTTTTTCAAGTAACAGCTATTGTAATTTTTCCAGCTGCACTTTTCAGGATAAGGCCTTGCAGAAAAGAACATTCTCTCATCTGTAAGATGCTGCTTTCCTTGAAAGGAAGACAGAATGTGATGGAGGTCTCTAAGCTAGAAGATTCTGTATTTCTACTGTATTCCACAATAATAGCATTTCTCATTTAAAACCTCACTTTATGTGGTGATACAGCGTTTTTAAACATAGTGTGGACAGCCCTGAAATTTAGCTAATACTAGTATAGAAAGTCAGAAGTACACAATTCTTAAATGGTAACTTTAATTTTTACTGATTCTTTCATATCAAATTCTTAATGGTGAAAACATGTGGCATATTAACAAGCCTATGAATTTGGAACATTATTCTCAGTTACTCTGCCACCTCAGCATATAAGGAATACAGTGTGTGGGAAAAGCCTAAGACTGAGAAGCACAATTGAGCCCAGCTGCTTCATCCAGTATCAGAATTAAGCATTTCAGAACAGTATCACTAAAACAAACAATCTTGCATGTGCTTCTCTCAAAAGAAACCATGACAGCTTAGGATCATCCTGTGACCCACATCATGTTCTACTTCTCATGGATATTTTAAGAGAGGTCGGGCACACAAAGCAGGAAGGCCAAGTACAAATACACTGGCACAGTAATTTGTAAGCTAAAGCTCTCACATCAGCAGCTAGGTGTCCTTTCCAGGTCACTGATACTGGACAGGAATAACAAGAGAAAACTTACATAAAGTATCAGGTGACCTAGCTGACAAATAATGACAAGGAAAAAAAATTCTTTTCTCTACAAAAGTAGGAAGTGTGTAAGCTTAAGAAAACAGAAAGTTACACTTCTATCATGTTCTAATATACCAAAAGCTATTCAAACTCCAGGTCAAAAAATCTGTGAACGTGCCTTTCAAAACTTGGAAAATGTTATGAGAAAAAGATGAGTTTAAAAGATTAAAGAATTCACAAAATGGAGAAATTTTCTGGGATTTCTTTTAAATTCCAAAAACCAACTCTTCCCTTTGGGATGTACAGATTGTGTTTCAAAGTTCAAAGGTATTTGTTGGTAGAACAAGTAAGGAGTATTTTGTACCTATTACAGTTACACCCCTTGATAAGAATATGATTCAGAATGCTGAATATGCTGTGTATTTTATTTAAAATGAAAATGGTTTGACATACTGTACAAGCAGCTGTGGGCAAGTAATTCTGGACACTGCTTGTATTCTTACTGAAGAGATTACTGAGACTATAGAACAAACCACGACTTTGGTTACACTGTTCCTATTTAATTTGTAAATATGAAAAATATCTTGCTGCTTTCTTTGTAAAATTAAAATCTATGACAAAACATTACAGACCCTCTGTTTAATATATATATATTTAAAAGTAATTTAGTAATATGTGTATACTGACAATGTTCCTTCTCCATAGGTGTTAGAAGAAATAATTTTAAAAATAAAAAGCAAATTAGTGCTGGATACAGATTTTACAGACAAAAGAGGAAAAGATAAAGGAGAACAGCATGTGTTTATAATTCAACTGAGATACTACATGAATAGCTGCAACCTCTACCTATACTCATCTTCACTACAGTTATGCAGTGCTCTATATAAATAATTATACAGGATATTAAATTCCTTGGAAATAGTAACCAATTTAAAATTAGATTTATGGCTAAAAGGCCCTTGCTCATTAGGGCTTAAAGCTACCTTCAAGAACTCAAAGCTGAAAGTAATGTTTCATGCATTGCTAAGTTTATGCAATGCATCTCGTTCTTTTTTAACAAAGAGTTGGGAATTCACAAACACTGGCATGAGAGGAAACAAGACTGTCAATATGGATCAGCAATGGAAGAAGCCTTCTTCACACATGTACTACCCACAGGCAGCTTCTGACACTAATTCTAAGGACTCATTGAGGCTGAACTGTACGTGGTGGGAGACACTGCTCAGAAACACAAAATAAAAATTTGTATTCCCAGTTCTGATGCTTGGTCAGCTGCTTTCCAGCTGTTGGCTGAGATGTTGATATCTGGTGCTGCTTTTGTTTGCGGGAGTTGCACTACAACAGGGAACAGACAATGCCATTGGACAATGCTCCCAGTGCTTAGGAACCAGCAACCCCAAATGCTAAATACAATCAGAAAACCTCACCTCTGGAGCTGACAAATTCTAATGCACCCAAATGTAGTATTGCTACCTCAAGCTCAGTGTAAAGCATCAAAGTACCATGTCTGGTGGTGAGTTACACGTGTGGGATACAGACAGGCAGATCTAGACACACAAGCAGTGGCCTTTGGTGCCTCTTATAATGTCCTGATCTCACAAAGACATTCATAAACTCTTAAATTCATATAATGTAAATTGTTTCACTGAAGTAAAGAGTAAAATCTGGACTTAATCTGAGACAATACAAAATGACTACAAAAGAGAGAAGCACAAGTAAACAAAGATGGGATGATATTGCACTTTCTTTTTATACAGAAAAATATTTTTGTCTGTATAAAATGAAAAAAAATCTTCAGGGTTGGCCACTATTAGTCAATCAATTTACCAGGTATGAAAATTAATTTTAAGGGACTCTTATTCAAATAAGATTTTCCTATGAATAATGAGATTTTTCTTATGTTTTGTTAATTAAAAAGATAATATACGGGTGATAAAACCCAAGTAGATCAGAGACCATACACCTTTCTCTAGTGCACTAAATTGGTATTTTAATTGTTCATCAAAATAAGGATTAATTTAAAACCAAACCCAATAGGAGTGTTTGATGGCAGTGTGGAAAGGTCAAAACGAGGAACAGGTAATAACACTGTTCAAGCACTTTGCTAGAATGCCAGAGCAAAAAGATGAAGTATATACATTTGACAAGTATGTACATTTATCAATTTCACAGCAAGATATGAAAAACTGTTGTAGTATATTCTTGAAGAATGTAGGGTTTTTTTGAAGTTCCTTACCTCATTAGCTGTGTTGCGAGTTCCAACTATTCTGATAAAAGATGCAGGCTGTTTATCAAAAGTGATTGTTTGCCAGGATCTACAATGAAAATTCAGAAATACACACAAATATTGAACATAGTCACAAAAGCCTCCAATAAAACATACAGAATGCATTCAAGTGACAGTATGTACTATTATCACTTAAGAGGGCAAATGGAGAAAGTGAATTGCTTGAATTTCCAGCACTACTTCCTCCTTTTAAAGTGTCTTGACTCTGCTTATGCAATTTCATACCTACCTTATACCACTATAATTTGTATGCAGGGACAACAATCATACTATTGAAGCTGAAAGTTAAAAAAATAGACAAAGAAAAAAGACCTGGATAAAAGCTGAAAATCTTTGACCAATATTGACTGTATTAGATTATAAAAAAGGTCAGATAAATAAAAGTGCATCCTCCTATTAACTTCTCATGAGGAATCACCAGAATTTGGTTAAAGAAAATTACAACTCTAGGAGAAAAAAAAAAAAACCCAAACCACCTAAAACCTCAAACTTTTCACACTCTATGTGGAGCAATAGAGAAAGAGGAGCCAAGGTTTCTTTGTGTGGACCAAGGTCCTTCCAGGAAGTTACAAATGCCACAAAGCACCATTTGCAGTTCAGGTTGTGAGCATTTCCCCATCCTGACACAGCGGCAGTGAGTAGAAAAGACAACTCTCCCAGAGCTGGTGTATAATTTTCAGGCTAGACTGAGAATATTAGAGGTACATTGGGACCACTGTCATCTTTGTTCCTCACTTTCATCTGATCTGAGTGGGGTGCAACACCTCAAGCAGCCTAATGCACAGCAGGAAAAAGACACCAGCACTTTGTGCTCACAGTACAACGGAAGAAATAAAAAGAATACCAGGAACTAAACGTTTCAGTTCGGCACCAGTTTAGTACTTGAACACATTAAAATTTCAATTATTTTATATTCATAAAACATGAAAAAAAAAATCCAGAATTTAACTTCTCAGCCAAACTATACTCTATCATAGAAGGCCTCAGAAATAAACTGAAGTTAGGTTAACTTGATTAATTTACTATGGAAAAAAGCTGGAGAGTTTTTCAGAATGGGTTCTGAATACCTTCAGAAGTGTTCATGTAAGAAAAAGGGGATCTAAGTAAAACTGGAATAGAACACTACTCACTGCCAGCAGACAACCCCAAAGCCTGGCAGTATGAACAGCTTCATTGCTGACTACTTGTCTGACATTTGATTTTTCTCTTGTTGGGAAAACCCCCTTTGTCACAAACATAGCATTTCTCAGCTTAATTTAGTTGGTTATATCACAGCTGTCCAGTTATATTTGCTTAAAGATGATTACAAGTCCTAATTTCAAATAGTTTACTGGTCTTACTGCATGAGGTAATGGGTGTAATTAGAGTCATTCATGATAACAGACAGGTGTGGTTTGTGGCAGGCCTTGGAGATAGGCAGTTATCTACCTAATGGTATGGTTTATTTATAGGCCTTATGTGGCTATACCTCTATTTTAAAGTTGGTTCTTCATGCTCTAATAAAATATAAAATGGGAACAGACTATTTTGTTGATTGTTTCAAGACTTGAAAGATTATTATGATTTAAACATTTCCCCACAAACAGGAGAATCATTCTTCTTGATATCCCTTCTAACCTTACTCTAGTACGGTCAGTCAATCTCCATGGGCAAACAGAACTTGTTATCTTGAACTACAATGTCCCAAAGATGAGAGGCTGGGACAAAGAGATGATCACAGCACTGCTTCTTATAACAAAGCACTGCCTCAGTATGCATTATGCATATGCTTTGACATTTACACACAAAAACTTGATTCAAGGAGAACAATGATGTAGAAACCAGTTTGCTTTCTAGTGATTTGGAAAATAATTTAAAGCTGCACTAAATAAAAGGGTTTAAAATCCTAAAGGAGCTATTAAGAAGAGCCTGTGCCTCTCGAGACACAGGCAGAGTAGAGTGTAGAGTTTGTGTATGTAGAGTTTGTGTTCTGTGATAAGAAAATATGTTAATTAGAGACCACAAACTAGAACAGAAGTGGGTCTGTATTTATTTCTACTATTTCTGAGCACTGGTCAGATACACACTGCAAGAGCTCAGTGCAGAATTTCCAAGCATGGCAATAAATGCCATTGTCTGTGCCATGATGTGATACCAGGGAGGCTGATGATCTATTTGGGAATACATCTGAAGAGCACAGATAGTAAAAGAGGTTGAGAAAAAGATCTCTGAAGATTGTTTTGATGACATACTTCCAGATCAACTCCTCCAGGAAGTTCCTATGCTTGTTCACTTCCCACTGCATTGCAAGTCCTTACTTTCTGCTACAATGGCAGTATTAGGATTTGATTATAATTACTCCTTTAATAATATTAAAATATAATGGAAAAAAATAAAAACATTTCTTGAGGGTGTTTTAGATATCATTGTCAGCAAATTCAGTCCTAAGAATATTTACTATTTTGGTATGTGTCCATTTTACTCCCTTCTCATTGGAAAAATAAAGTCAAAATTACATACAATTTGTAAGCAAGTTATTAAAATGCAATAATATTGCCACTAGAGAATTAATACTTAATTGCATAATGAGAAAACTAGAGGTCTCATTTTATTTTCTTAGCAAAAAGGAGAAAAGCCAAATAGAAAACAAGCTAAGTGGATTGGGAAGAATAATTTTTGAAATAAGCAAGGCAAACCTTCACTAGAAAGATGCATGGATTTGACTGCAACAGTACATTTGAGATTCTCTATATATGCAAAGCAATACCTCTACAGTATACACATTATTATGCAGCAAAGAGATAATTTATGCATGTAACTATACCCCTATGAGAAAAGGGATTTCTTACAGAACATTATCCAGGCATATTTGACCTCTTTTTTACATTTTTTGCTGATACAACAAATTCATTTAGAATTCTATTAATGTATACAGCCATAACAATTTTTCAGTGGTGTTCCTCAAAGACATCACAGGTAATCCTCAAGTTTTTTTTTTAACCTTCCTTTTTTACTACTAGTTATCTCTGCTGGTACTATTTTAATAATTTCAGTTTCTCTGTAGAAATTCTATTTTGCAAATTGTTTTGTAGCCACGTCATTTATCTAGTCCTGCCATGCCTATGTGCTTACTTTACATTTTCCTCACACAAGTTTGTCTTTCTATTCTCAAAATCACTTTTGATCGTCTTTACAAAAATTTCCTCCAAACTTTATACATTGCTTTCACATTGATTCACACATAAGTCACTCTGTAACAGGAACAGCAGCATTAAAGCAGATCAAAAGCACTTCATTTTTAGCCTGGGATTAGATAGTCCTGTGTAATGGATGGCATTTCTTCACCTTTACTCCCCATATGCCAAACAAACAAATTTGTCAAACCGGTGGCAATACTTATACTGTCTTTGCCTGAGACACAGTAATAAAGAAGCTATCAGAATTTACTTCTCTCATAAAATGACACTGCTGTCTTTTGGACTTTTTCTGCCTCTGTACAGCTTATTAGTGACCCTATAACAAATGTATTTTTCAGGGTTTAGCTTTATTAAATATCCAGGCAGTGTTGATATTTTTATGCTTTGACACCTGCCTTGCTGGTTGATTTGTTTTAGATTTGCTGGCTCAGTCTGCAGCAGTTCTGGTCATCACTTTCACAACAGAAATAATCACTGCGTTAAGTTGAGGTTTCCATCTCGAAGAGAAACCCAGGACTAGCAGCCTACTCAGATTTATACCAGGATCCTCAAGCTGAAATGCAGCACTAAAAGTTGTTTGGCTAGCAGCTCCATTTTAAAAAAGAAATTAGCCTCGTTACAGTCCTGCAGGGTTTAACACTCTACATCTCACCTCAGCCACACGACTTCTAACTCTTTTTCTGCCTGACTCCCCTAAGGAGATGCAGTAATTGATGATTAGCATTCCAAAGCCATGCTTGCATCCTGTGAGCCTGTCATATTTAATTACATTTTAACTATATTCGTCTTCTATAATAGCCTGAACATAATTTAGATAATTATCTTTTGCTCTCTTATTCTCTGACTCTGCCTGTCTCACTTAGAGCTCCTTGCAATGAAAATCACTTTCTCTGTTTAAACATATAAACAGACTCTTGGGCCAAGAATTTTCACCTCTCCAACAGCAACAGTTGAAAACATGATGGCTTTGTGCATCTCACAATCTCTTCACCACACTCTATTCAGAGAAAGGAAAAAGATCACTAGAAATCATCCCACTTTCGTATTTCTTCTTCTCCTTTTCCTTATTAGGCTGTTGCAAGAAGAATGCAAGAAATTCCAGGTAAACCAAATTAATACCTTGCTATTCATTAAACTATCTGTAGCTCCAAAATAGCAATTCACCTCCTAAAGAACATAATGGGTTTTTTCAGGATTTGGAATATTTTTCTCATTATTTCTAAGAAAAGCTGCTATCTTTCTAAAGATTTATTACACGTAATAGGACATAAATAGTGATTCTTCCCCAATATTTCTTTCTCTTCCAGAAAGAACAAATTAACAAAGAAGGGGAAGCTTATATTTTATTGAGGTTTTCTAATGAGCCAGTGGCACTACACAATACTACCACACTGTGGGCTTACCAGAGCAGCACTGATGAGAGCTGAAACCCAGTTCAGGCCAAAGATGTCAGACAAAAGAGAAAGCTGCTACATGAAACTAGCATTCATCAAGCTGTAATAACTATTTCATATTTCTATCAAGGCTTGCTTTAGGCTAAGCATGTACATTTTCAATGCGCACATCATGTCTCCTCACTTTCCAAGATGACATACAACTTCAGTATTTCTGTTCCTCACTCCAAAAAAAAAAAAAAAGCAAAGCAGACTTAGCAGAATTAACCTCCATATTTTACTTTCTAATATTTGTCTACATATTCCTTATTCTACAGTAAGTGATGAAACACTTCTTAGCTTATTTGGATGTTGACTTTTTCAACTGTAGCTATGTATTTTTTAATGGAATTTGTAAAAGCAAGTAACAGGACAATGAAAGAAGAGTTGTGTCCTTTTTCTATATATTAGTCTCATGA